AAGTAGTTTGCGGTGTGCCATAATCAAGGAGTGTGTTCTGTTTCATGAGTATGTTCCTTGTTTAAGTATATGTTCAGGTTGAATAATAAAACAAATTCTTTGCTAACGTGCAGATTGTCCAGAAGTGTGTAATATGGGGTTTTTTTAGGTTTAATTTTGGAGATGTTTTTCTATAAACTACATTTTTAAGCAAGTTAGTCTGTAAGTGATCAAAATATTATGGAGTACAAGATTTTGGTATAGTATCTTTAATAAAACTCTCTCAAAAAAAGCCCAACCCCAAACCATTGTTAATTATCCTTTGAAGAGAATTTATTTGAGAATTTATGTAAACGATTAGTTTTTGACGTTAGTAGTTAGCACCAGAGGTGGGCATGTGCCAGCCCAGTGCAAGCTGCCACCCGCTGCGAGTTGGGGTGCTGGTGTCAGGCTGTGTGGTGGGGATGGGGGCCGGTCTGGGATGCCCTGACCCGGGGGTCAGTTCAAACATCCCCTGCTCAGCCTCGGCCTGTTCGGTAGATGCTGTCACGGGGGTCTGAGGGAGATCTCTGCAGGCTGGTGGCTTCATGGCCCTGGCACGGCTGCAGCAGCCGCAGCTCCTTCCCGGGAGTACAGAACAACTCACCGTGCCCGTGTGCGAGACCGGCAGCGACACCACAGCGCTGCCTCAGAGGGAACCTCCTTAGCACAGCTGGACCCAGAGCCCTGTGCAGGACCCTTTTCGGGCTCCGGAGGGGCACAGCGGGGCGAGGGGATGGCGATGCCGGGTGCTGCAGAGAGGAAGGAGCCAGGGTCTGATCCAGCGCTGTCCTCGCTGCCCCCGCGGCACAGAGGCCCCAGAGCAGCGCCGGGGCTGTCCCTGCACAGCGGGACCCAGGAGCTGCTGCGGCTGCACAGCGGGCCCGGGGCAGCGCCCGGGTAGCGACAGGGCATCCCGGAGCAGCAGCATGAGAACGCCTGGGATTTTGGTACAGGTGCTGCCAATGCCTGCGGGAATGCTGCTCTCGGCTCGCTGTCTGGCTGTTGTGCTGCTGTACAGGCTGTACCTGCTTCCTTGGCTTCCCCACAGGGCTCTGGTCTATGTGCTTTCTGAGCTTTGTTTTCTGTGTTCCGTGACTACATCGGGGCGTTTGCTGTGCATGTTTTCTTACCGTGAATGTTGAAGTGTGTGCCTTTGTCTTTAAGTAAAGACCATAAAAAGGGCCAGCCCTGCTTTGCACATTTTCTGCATTTTCATGAGTTTTATACCATGATCTTTGCACTGAAGGTGTAATGTGTGAACTCTGATGGTGCAAATAAAGGCTAAGAGATGTACAAAGAACTGTATAGGCAACAGTCAAAAATAAAGCTTCTTTTAAGTGCACAAAACCGGACTTTTCTTGCACGTGGGAATGGAACTCAAAAAAATATTCTAGAACGCCGCCACCTAAGGGGCCGCCCGTGAAGCACGTTCGGCAAGCGCCGCTGCCCCGGGACCGCTGCGAGCTCCGCGGGGATCACACGGCAGGGATCACACGGCAGGGCTGCCCCGGGACCGCTGCGAGCTCCGCAGGGATCACAGCGGGGCTGCCGCGGCCTGAGGGCTGACGGGCGCCCAGCCTGAGGGTCTCACCTAAAATGCCCCGGCGGCCCAAGCCGGAGCCCCAGCACTGCAGCTGCCTCGCTCCTGTCCTTGCCCGCGCTCCCGGGGCCGGTGTGCCAGGCCCGGGCCCGGTTCCGCCGCCCGGGAGCGCTTCCGCCCGGAAGCCGCGGGGCGGAGCCGGCCCTGCCCGCACCGCCATGGCCGCGCGGCTGCTGCTGCGGGCGGCGCGGCCGCTCCGGGCCGGGGCCGGGCGGGGCACCGCGCTCGGCACCGCGCTCAGCACCGCGCCGCCCCCCGAAAAGAAGCGGTGGCTCCGGGCGTACCTGGAGCTGCAGCGGCTGCAGGCGCCTCCGCAGCGGCGGTGAGCTGCGGGAGGGGCTCGGAGAAGGGGTGGGACAGTCCCAAAAAGGGAGGAAATCAGAACGTTTAGGCCCCGTCTGCTCAGGCTTTGGAGCAAAATGGGTTGAGCTCCCCAGGTTGGCACAGTCCGCGTTGAATGGGGTAGGCAGACGGGGATGCGGAACCGACAGTGTCTGACCTCAGGGATTTAGATACTGGGTTTGCTATTCAAGTTCGATTTCATTCCTTGTGCCTTTTCGAAAGGCGCGGGGCGGGTAACGCGTTCTATTCGTGAGCTGGTTCCCTTTCCGCGCCCGCAGGTCCGAGAAGCCCAACTGGGATTACCACGCGGAGATCCAAGCCTTCAGCCACCGGGTGCAGGAAAACTTCGCCCTGGACCTTCTCAAGACCGCGTTTGTTAACCCCTGCTACATCGAAAGCGAAGAGGCGAGGCTCCGGCAGCTGGGGCGGGACAAGGACGCGGTCGCTCTCCAGCTCCAGGACAACACTGGCCTTGCGGAGCGAGGGCTGCGCTTCGCCCGCGCTTACCTGGCGCAGTGCTTTGAAGGCGCCTACCCAGAGTTACCTGCAAAGGGCGTAGAAGCACTGGTTAATTTTCTTACCAGTCAGGAACTTGTCTCTTATGTGGCTCAAAACCTGTCCATACAGGACCTGGCGCTTTGCAGAGATTTTCCTGCCCCACCAGACGTGCTGCAGAGGACGTTCCTCGCCGTGATAGGAGCCCTGCTGGAAAGCAGCGGGCCCGAGAGAACCGGGATCTTTGTCAGGGTAGGTTCAATGAATGCTGGGGAGAGATCCGCGGAGGTTGGCAGAATTTTGACTATACCTGTAAGAAGACAATTCAACAATGAAATCTGGTGGTAGTGGTGGTGGTCAGCTGGGGTTTTAGGGGTTGGGGATTTGTTGGGGGCTTTTTCATTAAAAAGACTGATCAAGTACATGAAATCATACACTTCTGGATTATAATGGTGATATTAATATTTGCTGAAAGTTGCTAAGGGGAAGCATTATATTACATGCACTATATTATCAGATAATTATTCCATGTGAGATTTCATATATCTTCAATTTAAAAAAACTCCAATAAACAGGGACGAGTTCATAGGTTTTGCACATAGGAGTGCAAGCCCCTGAAGAAAATGATTGAAATTCAGCGTGACAAAGTAGTTTTAATAGCTATGTTGTTTCAATCATCCTTTTCACTTATTTTTAGTTTTGCAGTGAGGAAGTGTTTGTTAAAATGTTCTTCCTGATACAAGACCATCGAGAGGTGTCTGCAAGAGCAAGGAGCTCTTTACAGACAAGAGTGATCCACACAGGTGAAGGACCTGTGGGTTTGCCCATTCCCTTGTATTGCCCCAGCTCCTCTGCTGCCACAGCTTGTCCCACAGGCTGGAGCTGTCCCTTCTCTGGGTCTGGGGGTGCTTTTGACCCGGGCACGAGTCTGTCAGTGGCTAAACCGGAGAGACTCTGAGCACTGGGATGGGGCACTGAGGCAGCGTCATCATTCGTTTCAGCAATTCATCATCACCTTTTGTCTCTTCATACTGTATTTTCATTAGGAGACACCAGAATCTCAAGCCATTAATTGTAACTTCTAAATATTCCTGTTTAGGACTTTTTTATTCCCCAGCTGATTGGAAAAGACCTGTTTGAGATCTGGAAAGTTGTAAATCCTATGGGCTTACTGCTGGAAGAACTGACCAAGAGGAATATCTCTGCTCCAGAACCAAGAATTACCAGGCAGCTGGGAGTCAGCACGGTTCTGCCAGTCTATTTTGTGGGGTTGTACTGGTTAGTGCAATATTAATTTAAAGTTAAATGGCTTTAACTGGAGGAGTGGGAGGGAGGGAAGATGGTCTTTTACTTTTCTGCTCATGCTTTTTGGTAAAGTTGTTCCAGAAAAGAAACACGATAGCGAGTTCCATATAAAATGAGCCATTTAAGCATTGGCCATAGCTCAGTGTGGTGATACATAAACAGTCTCTGATTAAGGGCTCCAGAGGCTAAATGGGATGTACCAAAGAGCCTGGGTGTGTTCTGAGGGACCTGACACAGGAACTTTGGGAACAGTGTAACTGCATGGCTTTGGAGGGACCACAGCTGTATCCAGGGCTTAGGCAAGCATAAAGAGACCTCAAGGGAGGTGGGATGGAAGAAAGACTCATTTTAAGTTTCAGAGAAGCATTTAAATTTGAAAATCAGCAGCACTGTAAGCTGGGCCATAGGAGTGTCTGTGTGCAGGCACGACTTAGGAAGTGCCAGATGTCCCAGGTGTGTTTGTGGCTGGTGTGGTCAGTGCCCAGGAGTGACATTGCTCCGTGGGGCAGGACAGAATCCACATCACTGCTGCTTTCCTAAAGGAGCTGCAGATGAACACGTACTTTGACTTGTTCTGCTTTACCCTGCTTTGGTTTCTGTGCCTTCTCAGATGTATCTTATAAAAAAGAAAGGAACTTTGATTGTTTCTCTTCAGGAATTACCTTCAGGAACTGCTCCTATTTAGTGTGTGCCCATAGGTGTTTGTTAAACAGACATGAGCACATGATTCACAACAGAGAGAGCTTCTCTGTCAGTCCTTTTGAAGCTGTTTGAAATACTTCCTTACCAGGGGAGGAGAAAAGACAAAACCACTTCAGTTCCTGTTTAAGATAACCAGAGTAATGAATTTACATATTTTTATCAGGGCTAACAAATTGAATGCTGTAAAGAATCCATGCTGTGTTAGGAACCTAAATAAACAGAGTGGTGTTCTGCCAGGAAATGGACACATTTCTGATCTGAGTTTCCATTACTGAATATACAATTATTTACCTTTGTAGGAAAGACCAACAGAAGTGTTTCCATTGTGTGTATATAGAAATCAGTGTTCACAGACATTGGAGAAAAAACAGTACACAGCAGTGCTCAGGGTTTTATGATGGAAACTTTGGTTTTTCATGGTTGTAACTTTGGTTTTTTTCCCCAAGCGATAAGAAGATTTTAGCTGAAGGCCCCGGTGAAACACTGCTGGCTGCAGAGGAGGAGGCTGCACGTGTGGCACTGCGGAAGCTCTATGGATACACAGAGAACAGGAGACCCTGGGATTACTCGAAACCCAAACAAGGATTGGCAGCTGAAAAGGCAATCAGCAGTAACTAGATGCTAAAAGACATTTTTGGTGTATCTTAAAAATCAATGGCTTCCATGCTGAATATAGGTGTATTTGGAAAGGCAAAATACAGTTTGTTTTTCTGGTCTTCAGTGCTCGAAACTTCCAAATAATATATTGTGTTAAATAAAGTCTTTTCCTTTTGCACAATGTTTAATGTTTGCTCATTTTCCTAAATGTAACAGAAGCACCCTTAATATGAAATTTTGCCTTTTGGCTCAGAAGTTTTTGTGTGCATCACAGGAGACCATTTTTAGTGGTGTTTAATAATGTGTGACAAAGTCTCACTGTACAGAAACACCTTTCAGGAATGCCTCCTCAGAGATTGTTTGGTGAGGATTGTTAGTAAGCTGAGTTGAATTAACATATATTACATCAGTCTTTGGATTGCATCTGGATTGATGTGTCCTTCACCTTGTGAAAACATAAGGTGTGATGATGATCCTGACACTCTTGGGGATTCAAACTTCTGAGGTCTCACTGCTTTCATCCAAATTTTATTTGCCATGCACATTGGTTTCTACTGTTGGACATGCTCTGAAAGATTTTTACAACTTGTAAAAATGCCTTTATTGCAAAATGAGAAATAAGTGAAAATAAGGATCATGAAGGCCTGAACCTAAAGAAATTGGAGAACATGACATGCTATAAGATAAGCTTTTTCTTTTTTTTTTCTCTTTTTGGTACTTTTCCTGTTTAGTCCATGTACTTTCATTTAAGCCGTCCCATGACTGAAGTACTCAATTCAGTGAAATCAGTGTTTGTCTTGTTTGCAACATCTGTAGCTGTTTTAGTGTAACTCCAAATGAATGGAAAGACAGGAATAATTCAGGTACCTGCATGATATTTCTGTTAAATGTCATAGAAACTTAGCATTTCTACCAGAGGGCAACAGATGTGTGAGAACTGCAGCTCTTTTGGAATAATTGTCTTGAAAAAGGAGTGAGCATCTATTACAAACATGTCTGAGCCCTGCAAGGAAGAAGCTGGATGTTCAGGAAGTGTTTCCTGCTTTATCCCACTGTGAGCACTGATTGTAAAGGAAGACACCAGGTAAATGAATGTGCCTTCACCAATAGGAGGGGGAGAAAAAGGCCAATGACCATTGATGCAAGTCTGATAGTGCTGGCCATTGCAACACGTCCTTTGCCTTTGGCCCACAAGATGGATTTAGGGAAGGACACTTGGCAGCCAAAGGTCCTGGCTGCAGCTGCTGGGCTGGTCTGTGCTGTGACAGTGAGTGCTGGCTCTGTCAGTCCAGTGGAAACAGATGTATTGGTGCTCTGAGGCAGGAGGAGTCTGTGTGTGACCCTGAGTGTCCCCAGCACTCAGTGCACTGCATCTCACCCAGTGTCCAACGCTGATGTGGCTGGAGAGCAGCGAGACCTTCCTGCTGGCTCTGGCTGAGATTCCAGAGTGAGAGCTGGAATACAAAAAGGAGGGCAGAAAGATCAGCCCAGCATAAAATATGAGCAAAATTGCTTGTGTTGAATGAATAATTCCAGCTAGGCAATCTATTAACACTTACATAAGCAAAGCCAATAAGGTCACTATATTCCAGGGGAATAAGAGCAAAATGTGAAAAGATGGTAAAATTACTCACACTATTTTTAGTTTCCAGATGAGGTTATTGCTCTTTACCTATTTTAAAAGGACAATAGTGAAGGTGGTTTTTTTACAGCTGAAGTTAGCTTTTATATACATATTTATGTGTTTTGAGATGAAGAAGTAAATTTCAGTCAGTTTACCTTTAAAAACAATTAAGATCTCTTTCCTTTGGCTTTATAGTTTGGAATGTGGGCGTAAGCCCTAGGAGAAGTGGATTACTGGATACTGTGCTGGTAAAAGCTGAGTGATGAAAGATAAATCAGTTTACTGTGTGGCCTATGTTTAGAATGTATTAAGATCAAATGAAAAGACAATTTGGGGACATAAAAAGAACTGGGGTTTTATAGGGGTGTTGACTGAAAAGTGAGTTTTTATAAGAAAACATGTCCTATTTTCAAGTTTCTAAAGGTCAGAAAATCATTTAATGTGGCATCTGTACTTTAATTTCTGACACTCAACATATATTTCAGAATTTACAGCTGTGCTAGTGGGATCATTTATATACTTCAGATTACTAACCTTTTTCCTTGTTTTTTTTAATCAGTAGCCATAAACAATAGCATAGTTAAAAGATTTGTCAGACCTACAGAAATCATTAGCTATAAAGTGTGGTGAAGATGGCAGCTCAGAGAAATTCCATGGCAGTTTTGTCTGAAAAGTGGTCTGTGAGCTGCTTGCATGGGTGCTGAGTACAAGTGCATTTCTATCTCCCAGCGGTTGCTCCTGTCATGGTCACATTTTGTTTATCTTTCAGAGAGACAATAGATTGAGCAGATTGTCAATAATGACTCACAGAAAGGAATCAGGACAGTTTATTCTTGCAACCCATTGAAGAACTAGATTATTGTGACAAAAATTACATTTGTAAACTCACTAAACAGTAGGAAACACTAGTAAGATAGACTTGCCTTTTCTCCAAATTTTAGGTAAATCCAGTGTGTGAATGGTCTTGGATTACTCTGTTTCTGTCAACTTTATCCTTTTTCTTTTTTTTTTTTTTTTAAGTGTTATAGGAGTAATTTTTTTGAGAAATGTAAGATAAGTTCTACTCTACTGGTACCAGGTAAGTAATTGGAGAAAAATATCTCAGTATGCTTTCATGCAGCATTGTTAAGTTGCTTCTGATCTCAGCAGTAGAAGCTGTTCTGTTGCTTCTCTGTGCCTTTTCTCCTGTGTCTCAGCAGTTCAGTGATGTGACTGAGCACCCAGTTACATCTCCCTGCTTTTAGCTGCAGTTTGCATCTGGTTACAATAACCAGATGTTTTGCTTCTCTTAACATAAATAAGTCCAGGAATAATTCTTGTATGAATTATTACTGTGATTTAAAGGCAGGAGATGAAAACACAATCATTTCACAGTTATCTCTGTGTTAATTCAGAGTTTGAAACTGCTGGTGAAAATTTAAAGCTTTTACTGGTTTATGACTTGTCTTTTTTATTTCTTATAACAATCTCTTGGCTTTTATGATTAATCAAAATTTTAAATAAGGTGCTCTGGTGTTATCTTGGTATACAAAGCCGTGAAGAATTCAAAACATCAAAAGATGTGTTGTCATTGTATTTTTCAGGGCAGAGGAAGGGATGATGCAGTACAGGAACATAAGAAGAGCCCTAATTCTCCTTGTCCTTATCTTTACTGAGTGCTGTGGTAATTTTAAAGAGGCTCTGAACTATTTGGGTTCTCTTACATCAGACCTTTTGAAGTTTAATATTGAGAGATGCATTTAGTGTCGAGAAGCAAACACTTATCAACAAGGACAGGTTGGTTTTATCTTTCTAAATCGATTCCCCAGATGTAATGGCACTAGTTTTGCATTTTTCCCATTTCAGCTTGCCTAAGAAACTAAAGATCCAGTGCTCACCAGCTGGTCAGTAAATAACCCCTGTTGTAGTTTGAGGTTGCAGAGTGGGAACAGCTGCTCCATGTGACAGAATCAGAGCATCATTGAAGGCTCTTGGTGATTCCTAAATCACAGGCACACTGCAATGCAGCTCTTCGTGGTGCACATGAAAACTGGGCTGCTCTTCTTCGGGAAAAGGGTAGCTCTAGGGAGAAGGTAAACATCATCATCCCTTTCTGTTTCTGTGTAATAAGTGTAATGTTTCTGCCAGTCTATGGCAGCTGTGCTGGGGACTGTGCTCTTGAATTTACAGGTTTATAATCCAACATGTTAATTTTGGACACATTAAATCTTTTGCTCCTGTTGCTCCAGCTGGGAACAACTTCAGAACCTCACTTTTCTTATATGGAAATTAAAATTTATTCTTTAACTCTGTTCATTGCCAGTTGTGTTCACTTATTCTTATAACAATGTTCTTTATCAGAAGAAATCTTGATTTTATTGATGTTGGAGGAATTTAGCATTTAATTGTAATGAGATTAAAATTTCATTGAGTTTTGAATGTGTTTGAGGGCTCCCCACTAAAGGGGCATCTCAACAGATCTGCAGTCCTGTGTTTTCCCTTAGTCTGGGATGCTTATATAAATCAGAGCAACATTTGTTTTTTAGCTTTTTAGATAAGTAAAATTTTTAGATAAGTTGTTACCTGACTTTTTTAGTTTAGTACTCTTTGTCCTGAAGGTACCATTTTGGTTTAAAGCACCTGATTTTGTTACTTTATACAGGAAACTGAAATGAAATGCATCAGTAAGTAGGCATTTCTATTAAAAATGTTATTTTCAATAGTAATTTAAATTATCTGGCCAATATTTATGTAGCATTTCTGATTATTAAAAATTTGCAACTTGCAAAAAAAAAAGTTTTGCAACAATGTTTTGATATCTGCCTTCAAAGAAACTTAACACTGTTAAATGCAAGTTGTTTCAGTAGACAATGGTGAGGTGTAGTCCTTTGCTCCTCGCAAGAGGTTCCATAGTTTCATGATCCCCACATATTTAGCCAAGTATTGAATCAAATCTTCAGTTTGTCAATGCTAGTGTGTGTGTGGCTTTTTGTAGGCTGTACTGTGCACTTGGGTGGGGAGGAAAAGTGCCCCTGGCAATTTTGCAACGTTAGAGAAGGGAAAAATTAAATACTCGTGACAGGTGCAGGATGTCAGTTTCTGAAGTTACCAGGTTTGGAAGTTTTAAAATGTTCTGCTCTCACTTATTTGACCATTTCTAGAGAATGATGCCACATAGCAGGTAGTAAGTGAGGAGAGACCCACTGCCATGTTGGGCAGATTTGTGAGGATGTATCCAGGTTTGGAATGAATATCTCAGAGGTAATGCAGGGGATATTGCCAGATCAAACAATGAAGCCAAGTGGAATGAAAAATCAGTACACGTAAAGGCTGAAGGAAACACACAGGTGGAGCACCACTGCCTACATTAGACCTAAAGCTATGGGAGAAAATTCGGAGTAATTGGAGTTCAAAGATAGCATTCTGAAACCTGTTCTTGTGGCATATCTCCTCCACAGGGGCAGTTCTGCAAAATTAAGAAAATAGTATTGAAACTAAGGAAGTGTCACAGAATTAGTCATGTCACAGGAGGATTAACCAGGGGAAGCATTCCCACCACCAGAGGGCCAGGATTTGTCTAAAAGTTCTGGTGGTTAAGAAATCCAGTTGTTTTAGTGGTTATTTCAGCAGCATTGGGAGGCACAGCTTTATCCTCCAAGTGACTGGTAAAAATATCTGACAACAGAACAAAACAATTGTTGAAAATCAGTCCAACATCAGAGAATGTTTAAGAAGGAAATGAGTCCAGAGAGAAAATGGCTTCATTAGTTGAGCTAGTTGAGTGTTAATGGAAATTATTCTCTGTAATTTCAAGTGATGGGAACTGGAAATGTTTATAATTTTTTTTTTTATAGTCCATCAGGAAAAACACAGCTTCCTATCTAAAAGTGTGTCTGAAGATATCCTATTCTATTACACAGACCTTCTGATTGAGGAATGACTGTGGCAATGAGCATGGGAGATCTACTTTTACAATTTGATTAGGTTGTCATTACTAGGGAGGTGATGGGTTTAGATTTTAATTATTCCCCTGTCATTTTCTGTTTATAATATCAGAGCACAGTTCAGTTTTCTTTCATGTTTCTTTTCCAGTAAAAATATATGTTTAATATTTAATTCCTACCTCAAATATCATGTGATGCTATTTCAGCATGCTTTCAGTCAGGCAGTTTTAAACAACCTGTGGCCATCAGGCAATGAGACAATAATTGGAGAAGAAAAAAAAAGGATGACATTCATAGTGACACTTAGCAGATCCTCCATGGCCATTCATTATTGCTTCTACTGCTGCTCTGATTACTTTAGAGGGAACTTAGATGCCCACATCCACATCTTGAAGTTTCAGTTCAAGACCCACAGCATTGCACAATCTTTTCCCCAGCTGCTGGGAATCTGCTCTGACAGTGTCCTGTGACTGCAGACATGTATCCAAGTGAGCTTTGTGAGGAATTCCTTGATTCAGACTCTGTGCTGCATGACCAGCAGGCAGTCTGCTGAAGTTCATGGAAATCCAGACCAGAAGCAAACTGTTGATTATTCCCAGGTTTCAGAATTAGGTAATTTATTTCATAGTTTATTTCTTTGAAAGTTTCCTTTCAAACCAGTTAGTTCCAACTTGGTTGTTTCAACTGCCCACTGCAAGCTCAGCTGTAAGATCAAATGTTTATGAGATGATCATGGATCAGGTTGAATTTAGTTGATCTCATATGTAAAAGCAGACTATTTAAACAGACTTAAAAATAAGTTTGAACATTTTTTTTTCTTGATTGGAGGTACTATATTCATCATTTCCTAGTAACCAAAAACATCAGGGATTAAATGATAACAACAAAAATAATAAAATTTGATAAAATTTGGAATATGCTTTCACATTTTATTGTGGAGAAAAACTCCCCCTGTTGCAGAAAGGATTTGTTGCTAATGACAGTACACACAGTGGAACTATCTGACTCTTACTAGCTAATTTTTGAAACCTGCAAGGAACAATTTTATGCTTCAAGATAATTTCCAGTTTTGAAGCATAACAATACATAATTTAACATGAAGATGTTATTCCAAAGAGCTGTGACAAATGGTTATTTGGATTTCATTATATAAGGGGATGACACTGGTTGTCTAGAGGACCGAGGGCAATTGTGGGCATTGCCTGGCAATGCTGAGAGGCTGCAGCAAAGAAATGAAACACACGTACTCTGCACATTCACTGTTTATAATGAGAAAATGCAGAAAGTGCTAAGCCTTTTGGCAGGTGGGTTTGAGCAGTGATCTCTGTCCAAGAGTGTAAAATGAGTTCATCCTGGCAAATGCCTAGGTCAGTATGAATGAAAGCTTGTCAATAATTACTATGAAACCTTTCTCTGTTAATTGTTTCTTTGCTTAAATTGGTTCCATTTTGAGTGTTCACACTCCTAATCAGCAACTTTGTAGTGCAGCAACGCACAAAGCTCCTCCATCCCCTCTATCTCCTGCCTGCACGTGTCCCCATGGCAGCTGGGCAAATATCTGTGAGCACAGAGGGACATGCAGGGGGAGACAAGGACCTGAAGGTCTCAGAGTTATAAGCTGGCTATGAATACATCAAACTGGAACAACTGGAAAGCTGGACCTTTATTGGTAAAGCACTGGGCTCTGAAACAACCACATACAGAAAGGAGCAGGATGTAAAACCTCTGTGTATTCATAAAGTGGATCTTGATAGCTTAGGAAAGTCAGGGTAAACTGAGGAGATCTAAAAAAATTATACTAACAGGGTTACAAACTAACAATTACAAGAGGCTTGATTAAAAGTCCTATTTTGTAAGAAATACTATGCTTCCCTAACAGCTTCTGTAATATTTTTGGTTTTGTACTTGTGATGATTCATTAACTGTCAGGTTCCTTCTCCCCACCAATTTTCCTCATCCATGGTACCTCCAAGGACCTTGCCAGTGGGGTTTTTTCCCATTTGTATAAAATCTCTTGGACATCAGGGGTGTATTTCTCAAATTACTCTGTTTATGTCAGTGTCAGTAAGACACTGGTATTTCTTCTGCTGTTACCCCAAATTTTTCATTCACTGTGCTGTTTCAGAGTATTAATTCTCTTTCTTGTCCACAAAGCAAACCAAGGTTTTGTTCTATTCAGGCTGTGATAATGTTCTGAACACTTACTCTTTTCCCATTTCCAAAACCCAGTACATGGAATGTTACTGTGCACAACATGCCATTGATTATTCATTTGTTTCTGGTGGTCGCTTCGTTGTTGAGTTTTTGTTCTGTTGTTTTTCAGATTTTTTAAAATTTATTTAAACATGTAACTAGTAAATATTAAATATTCCAGTCACATAAAGAAAAACACTTCTATTTCATGTCAAGACTCTTTGGCTAAGTCACATAAAGGTAAGCATTTCACTTTTTTATCTCCTGGTTACAAAAGAGTTTTTCTAATTGACAAATGCTTTCAAAACCAACCTTCTCTGCTGAAGTTCCCACACATTATTTTCAAGAGATGTGTCTGTCATTGCCACTTCAGCAGAGAATCATTCTCAAAAGAAATATTAATTTTTTTACTGCTATTTGTAACTACAAGTATGGCTTGCAGTGTTAAACACAGTTCAAGGCAAGACACTGCAGGTGCTCTTGCTGTACAGGAGAAGGTACATGAGGCCTGAGTGTCATGGGATTAATTTTTCTTGCTAAACCAGTTATTATAAACAACAATTTGAAGGTTTGTTTTTGTACTTCTGAAGAAAACTACACAGAGATAAAGTGCTAAACACTTTACTAGGTTTAGCATTATTTTTCCTATGTATGGATTGAGATTAGGCTTCTCCTGCAGAAAACCTCCCCTAAGAGGGTATTTGCAGCTACCAGGGGTTATCCATATCCACTCACTGCAGCTGCAGGAGCTGTGCTACATTCTCTGGGGGATCTTTTTGTCTGTGTTTTGTCTCAGATTTTAAAATTACAGTAGGGAGAAACATTACACTGCAGTTCATAGAATCAGTTTTCTTTTTGTAGTTGTCCTCTAAAATATTTTTCTTCAGAAATGGGGTGACTGAAAAACTTAATTTTCCCATATTCACATGACATTGATTATCTTCTGTATTCTTCTAGTTGAATTTCTGACATAAAAATCTGTTTCCTGTATTTCCCTCTTTTGTTATGTCCATCTCCATTTTTTCACTCAAAGATACTGCTCTTTTTCATTCCATTTCGAGTCTAAATGGATATTTGCATGATGTTTAGCTATTCTGACACTTGTTATATCCATTGCTTTGTGTAGTGGAGTGTACAAAACTTTGTTTATCAGGCAAGACTCGAACATGACTACATTGGAGTCACTGATTTATAATCTCAGTGTTTCAGATCATGCAGTGCAGGACAGGTATTTCGTGACTTGTCTTGGGAACTGTGACTCTGTACCTTTTTTCTTTCTTTTTGTCTTTTTTCATTCTTTATATAATCAGGTTGCTTAGAGAATTAGAAAGTTATGGATCTGTTTTCTAGATTCCCATTTTAGATACTGCTTCAGGGTTACCATGAGCACCAAAAGATGTCTGCTCATAACATTTAGGTCTATTCTACTGTTCCCCAAATCAGCCCTCAAAATATGTTTATTAAAATAAATAAAATTCAAGGGAAGTATGAAGGATAATAGCTGAGTTTTGTAAAGTGTAGGCAAGTAAAAAACACTGGCTGAATATGCTGTTTCTCCTATCTATTTTAATAGTCTTTCCCTCACTGAAGATCTCTTTGAAATTACATGTATTTCTTTTTGCCCAATCTAAGGCACTTCTCAGACAGCACTAACCAATAGCAGTTTCCACAAATTAGACTGACTAATCAATAATTTAGATTCATTAGTGGAAAGCAACAAAGGCTTCTCTTCACTCCCATGGGAGTTTTACAGAAAACAGGCAGGAAATGCTCATCATCAAGTGGAAAAAGTACTGAAGAACTGAACTTCAAAATACATTGGGCTTTAAATACAAATCTAATTTATATGTCAAGAAATAACTTAAGTCTTTAAACTTTAATGTGAAAATTAAGTTGTTCCTGCTCAGAGAGCTGGGAGAGCATTTCCTGGTTCAGTACCTTATGTAGCCAAATACTACAGAAGCTGTTGGGGTTTAGATGTCTGTTTAGATTCTGTCTCTCCCTCTTCTAATTTAGAACCAAAAGAGTTGAAGAGTTAACTATCTTACCACCCTTGAGTACTGTCTTTCACATTTGTGTCCAAAAGATGGGGTTTTTTTTCATCCTTGTAATTTTGTTCGTATCAGTTCCACAACTTCTTTCTTCTACTCATAGACTCTGGGCTGCCTTATATATTGCCAACATTCCTGTGGGATGTTCCAGCAAATGTAAGATATTGTATGACTTACCATTACATTTCTATTGCTGTAAGAGGATCAATTATAAATATACTCTGTGGTTTAAAGGGTTTCACTCTCCTCTGGCATGTTCCTCTGAAAAGATGCATGAAACAATCATTTTACCAAAACTTGTGTGACAGCCTATAAAACATCATTCAACTACAGGGTTTTATAGATTAATGATAAACCAATACAAAACAAAAAACAGAAATAGAAACATTGGCACATACTCTAAAAATAAATGTACTGTAAAGATGTACTTAAAAATTAAATGCACTTGCCTTGCATACAAGATATTCATTCCTATGACAGATATTTTGCCTTCACTGCAACTGTATATAGGCATGTTCTTTCCACTGCCTAGTCTGTGATTACAAACTGGAATATGATCTTGTGCACTTAAGGCACGATGGAAATTCAAGAACTGTGTCATATAAAGGGGCAAGGCTGAAATATTGATAACCTTTCATCATCAGTGGCCAATCTAGAAAGCAGAAACAGAATCATATGGTGACTGAAAACCATTTCCTACCCCATATTACTCCAAATGAATTAGGTGTATTTTAAACAAATAAAAGATGACATTAAAAAAATACAGGTGGCTAATTTGTTCATTAGAATACAAAAATCCCAAGCTGATGAGACTGTGCCTTTCTCTTTATTGTGAGGCCAGTTTCTTACTCACTGTTGTTAAGGGTAAAAGGCAGAGCTTTCCATCATTTACCTTTTCTTACTGTGTTAATGTCATAGCAGTGGGTGGGAAATGTCCAAGGGAAATGCGTTGCAAGTAAAGATAATGTTGTAATTCAATCATATTTGTCTGACCATTTTCTTGCATTGGATTGTCCAGATTTAAATAACTGTCAACAGGCAGTATGATTTATATAACCATTACTATGACTTTCTCTTCTTCTGATCTCTTCCCAAAATGTATCTATTCATTAATAAAAAGCTGCTGCTTGAATAAGGCCAGGCACAGACACACTGATTTATGCTCAGTGGACTGACCCTTGAATAGAGCATATCAGTGAAGGTACTGGCTGTGTTCTTTCCTAGCATTTTCAGACAACCCTTCATATATAAATATGAAGTGAGGTAGCAGTTTACCCCTGATCCGATATACCTAATCCCAGGATTAATTCTGTATGCCTATCAGTGGTGAAGCAAGATGGATTTAATAGCCCATTAGCCTTTCAGCGTGATAATTTTCACGTCGCTTATCCTGCTGGGTTAATTGCTTTAAAGTGGATATTATTGACCTCAGTCCTAGTGGCAAACAGAGAACGTCTTATTCATCTCCCAAATGTACATTCTTAGAGTCTTGTTTCTTTTGGTCCTGACAATAAATTCACTAGATTATGTGTTTGTATATTATAATTTATACCCTATTGGCCCATATTTAAGAGCTTACTAAAGCAGCATCTTTCAGATATTATTACCCACGACTGGAATATTAAATTCTGTTTCTTATGTAAAGAGAAATGTTGCAAGCATAAAAAAAACTGTTTTACCTCTTGTTAAGAAATTAATTTTAATGCTAAAAGCAGTAGCAGGTGCAGCAGGGATTAAGCACTTTTGGAATAAACAGCTGGCCAGTATATTTCTAGCTGCAGAAGTCTGGTCATTAGAAGGAGAGAATGAAGAACAAATCTGGACAGAGAAGCTGCAGGAAAGGAAATTCAGGTTCTAGTGTAGACAAATAGAAAAATATGTAATGAAAAAAAAAATCCAGGGGTAAAACTGAAGACAAGCATTCTTACTCATGTGTAATATTTGTGGATATTTTCCTTTAGTGATTTAGAGAAAACACAGACCAACTGCTTTGAGGGAATTAATGCTAGCTGTGAGCAGAAAAAATAGAAAAAGCAGGAGCAGAAGAGGAGCAGAAGTTCAGTTCTTGCTTGTGGGGAGGTGAAACAGGGCTGGAAGTTACCGTAGCCAGTTTTGAGATCTGTATGTGTCAACAGTGTTACACACAGTTATACTTAGGGCCTTGTATTCCTTTGGTTCCTAAGAGAAAGAGGAATGTAAGATTTAGATGCTTGATTGTAGGAGCCCCAGGTGTGCCACAGACTCTGGAAGAACCCAAATCTCACAGGTCTCATTTGTAGCACAGTGTATCCTCACAGACCCCTGAAGTCTCATTCTGTAGTTTCCTGAGGTAAATTTGCTCTATAAGATACAGAATGGAGAAGCTTGGTATTTACAAAAAGTGGTTTCTAAACCACATTAATTTTAACATAGGTGATTCATCCACTAGTGTAAGCCTATCTTGGCTCAATAGGCTTATCAAACACCAGAATAATGGCAGAATTGTTCCTTCAAAAAGCAAACTGGAGCCATAGGATTCCTACTGAACTTTCTGATTGACTTAAACAGTGCTAGGATTTTCCCTGGGAGCTCAGTTCCACATTTTACTGACAATGACAATGTCAATGACAGTGATGTTGTTTTTATCAGCAGCTGTTCCTGTGTGACATTCACATGAGTTCAGTCGTGACACGAGCAGTTGAAGCTGCTTGCTCCCGCTTCAGTTACAAACCACCTTTGACTCTGGTTGAAACAAAACCTGGCTGCATGGAGCAACTCTCTGCTGCAGCAGGTGTGTGGCCAATCACTGCTCTCCAAAGGATTTTCCAGGAAAAAAACAACAACCTGTTTTTTAACCTTGAAATTTTTTTTTCTAAATTTAGGTCAACTGCTTTAGATCATTTAGGTCATTGGCAAAGGTACAATGTTAGCGTGTTTCGTAAAAGGCAAAAGAAATTAAACCTTCTGAATAATGAGAATATCAGCATTTCATAGAGAAGTGAAAAATTAAAGGAAGTAGTGAGAATTTGGTCCTTATAAGACTGAAAACATATCCTGTTTACTCTTAAGAATGCTACTTAAGCATTGGTGATTATTTAGTGATGTCTATTTTTCATTTTGAACAGTTCCTGCCATCCATACTAGGAAAAAAAATAGAGCATTGCCTTCTGTGTTTAAAACTTAGAACTGGTTGATCAGCTCATGTAAATTAGCACATAGCACATCCAGAGGAATCAGAAGAGGAAGGACAGATTACTGATGCTGAACACCTAGTCCTAGATTTTTAACTAAAACTATGAGGAAAATACAGTGGATCAGATCTTGCTCCTATGTACACTGACGTCAGGGACTCAAAACTTGACCCTAAATACATTGTATTGGCAATCATTAAACCTTAAAAGATTTTAATCATACATAGTGTTGCTGGGGTGTTTTGTAAAAGAAATCACTGAAATATAAAGTGCATTGACTTCTTTTTTTAAACATGACTTCGCACACTGTTGAAAAGTATTCCGTTAGGCAGCTTTGTGTGTCACAAACTCGTATTTTGTGGATCAGGGGCTGACCTAGGGTTTCCTCTCGGGTATGAGAAGTACGTGACTGCTGGCTCCGCTCTCTCCTGATGGGGATACGCCAGCCGGCCACGAACTTCCCAAAGGAAAACTGCATTTCTCACCTCCGTCCCAAGACAGCCAGACCCCGTGGGGTGTTCTCCCCACAAATCCGAAGCCTGCTGCAATCCGCCTCACGATCCTCACGGCCCCGGCCAGCAGCCCGTCCCCGCCCATCCCCGCCGCCGGGAGCCCCGGGCTGGGACCGGGAGCGCCTCCGCTCTCGCCACGCCCCGTGACTGAATTTCCAGACTTTCGGCGCACAGAGGGACCCCGGCAGCGCTGGGGTGGGACACGGCACATGTCATTCCCTCACGGAGCACTCCCGCGCTCCGCAGCCGGCCCGAGCCGCTGCCCACAGGGGCTGAGGGGCGGCGGGACTGCCTGGCGCTCATCCCGCGGTGTGAGGGGAACAGCCCGCCCCGAGGAAAGTCTAACTGCACTCACTTTTCATTGATATTTTTCTATCGGGATTCTTCACAGGACGGCCCCCGCCCCGCCGGGTCACGCGGGGTGACTCGGCCCCTCCGGAGGCGCCGCCCCGGGCCGGGGTCGCGGTGTGAGGGGCCGAAAGGCGTGCAGTGCGCCCTCCCGCGCGGCAGGGGGCGCTGCAGCGGGCGGGCGCGCAGGGCTCCGCCGCCGCCGCCATCTCCTCGCTGAGCTCATAAAGGTGTCGCGCAGGTTCCGCCCGGGCTCGTCATTCCGCCGCCCCGGGCCCGGTGCCGCCGCCGCTGCATCCCCCGAACCGCGGCCCCCGCCTGCTCCCTCCCTCGCGGGGCCGCCGGTCCGCCTCAGCAGCCACCGCGCTCTCGCACCGGCCCGCCGGCAGGCGCCGGTTGTGCCCTCCCCGCCTCTTCCTCCCCTGTCTTCCCCTCACCCCCCCGCCCGCCCGGCCCCTCTCCCGCCGGCCGAGCCCCGGAGCGCCGCCGCCGCCGGGGTGTGAGCGGGGCCCGGCGCCGTGCCGGGCCGTCCCTCGCCGGCGGGGCCATGGCCGCGAGCGCCAAGCGGAAGCAGGAGGAGAAGCACCTGAAGCTGCTGCGGGAGATGAGCAGCCTCCCGCCCAACCGCAAGTGCTTCGACTGCGACCAGCGGGGCCCCACCTACACCGACATGACCGTGGGCAGCTTCGTGTGCACCTCCTGCTCCGGCATCCTGTGAGTGAGTGCGGGAGGGGACGGCCGGCTCCATCCCCCGGCAGCGGTGACCTCCGCCCCCGGCCGCCGGGGCACGCGTCCGCAGGGCGGCGGCGGCCGGGCGGTGCAGCCCCGCCGCGGCTCTCGCAGCGCCGCCGCCTCCCCTGCGCTCGCCTTCCTGGTGCCGGCTTGGCCACGTCGGAGGGCAGCGGGCAGGGGGCTCTCCCGGGAAGGGAGGGAGGCCGGCGGGAGGCTTTCCCGGGCGCGTTCGCTGGAAATCCCCGTGGAGCCCCCGGGGCGGAGGTGGCCGCCGCTGGCAGGGTGTGCGGCGCTCGGCGGCCCCGCGGCCCGGAGATGATCCTGGGGGGGCTCCTCCGGCGCGTACGGGGAGCGCGCACGGGCGGCCGGAGCACCGCCACCCCACGGACGTGTCGGGGGGGTGGTTAATTTGGCAAGTGTGTGACAATACTTGTGGAAAGGGAAGGGGCACGTGGCTTAACAGTTCCCTGTCATGACAGCCTTGAAGATGCGGGGATACTAACCCTGTCGTGAATGCTACTTAAACGTTAAATTAAACCACCAGCATAGCTTTATGTGCGTCGAGTTCTGCTTGGTGGTAGTTTATAAGACAACCCTTTAAGCTCTGTCTCAGTCTATGAACTCCAGCCTCAATGGTTTAAGAGACTTGATCAGAAAAGTAGAAGCTGGTTGGGATTTTTTGACTTTACATCGACTATTTCCTACAAATGATATATATAAACCTTGGAAAGGGATTGGCTCTGATAAAGTGATTGCATTTTCCTGTTCCTCATTCCTGTGTGGGCCTTCCTACTACTCCTCCCTTTTCCACCCATCCTTCCCAGAGATAGTGTTCATGAAACTAAGAGTTGAGGTCAGTCAGTTGTGAATTTTAGTCGCATATTCATAATTTGTGGGAAAGACCCTGCTGTCTCTAGTGTTGCTGTCTCTTTAGCTACATCTGTTTGCTTTTATATGATTCTGTAGCATTGTGCTAATGGAATGGAGCAGAATCATAGTAACCAAAGTAATAAATAGTATGTTAGAGGATACAGATTGGTGTTTCTCAAAGGCATTCAGGACCCTGAACTAATTTCTGTCCCTTTACTACCCCAGAAAGCCCTTCCAAGTAAGGTCTTGTGTTTTAGAACAAAGTTGGTAATTATGTTGAAATGCAAAGCAAATGTATTAGTTCTTTGCTGAATTTACATGGAACAAACTGCCTTTTATACTAATAGACAGCTAATTAGACTTGGAGTTCTTCTTCTTTATGTAGGCTTCTGAACAGACTTCATGCAAATACAGAAAATACATTTAGGTTGTGAAATTGAAAAGAGACTCTAGTTTTTCACGCAAACATGCCACTCAATCAGCTAGCTCTGGCTATTGTTTGCTCTCTTAGCAAACTGTTATTTGTGCTGGCATGTGAAACTATTTTAAGCTACTGCATTTAATGGTTGCACATGTTCTTACTGGGTTAAACTGAATGTGTGGTAAAGCTGCACCATGAGAGTGTTTTCTTTATTTTTCAGGCTTCTTAACCTTAATAGATCAGTATATTGTGAATGGCTGAGATGCCTAGCGTGGGTTCAGAAGAGTCTGTTGCTTTTATCTGTTGGCTGGGGGTATGGACTACTAACATAGTCCAGTTTACAGCAACCAAAAGGATGTACAAGCAGTGAAACAGCTCATAAGCAGGGGACAGCTGCCACTTGGTGTTGGCCATCATTTGGATGTTACCATGCTTAAAGGAGGAAGACTGCGAAATCATGGTTAATATATTAGTATTCTGATAAAATGCAAATGTTTTTTTCATTCTAAATATGCAGTGTTTTTGTCTTGCTGCAAAAAAGCAACCACAAACGATGTGTTTGGTTCTTACAGCTAGTAACACCTACACTTACAGCTGGAGTAAATTACTATTAAGAGGACTTAAAGTTTCCCTCTAAAATAAATTTGGACTCATTCTTTCATGTCAGCTTGGAAGAACTTCCATAGATTGTGTGCAGGATCATATGCATTGGTTAACACCTTATGACCTCTCCAGTGGCATGTTCATTTGTTAGTGATGAAACTTGGTATAGATCGTATCTGTTTCATAACTAGAAACTTATTTTTAACACTTCTGTCAGAGCAGTTCTTCAGTTCTTCAAACATGCTTTTCACTGTAGAATTTCATAGTGTAGGGAAATGACTTGGGAACAAACAACATAATGGCAAATATAAAAGTAGTGTTGCTTCTGTAGTTCTTAATGGCAGTTTGCGTTCTGCCTCACAGTACTTGCTTTACTTGAAGGTTTTAATAATCTTAGTACTTTATCTTGTTTATATGCTGTGTGAATGACTTGCATGACTTCTTTTTTTAATTATTTTTTTTCTATTCTGGTACAGGAAATATTCTTGGAGTCAAGTACACTAGTTTTTTCAAGTATGAAGTGCCCAATGCAAGATTAAAATACTAGTAGATTAAGTTTCCTTCAGAAAGTTTTCTCAATTAATTAAAAGTGATTGCTAACATCAATAAACATGTTATTCTAGATACAGTTAACTCTAAACTCTTTAAAAACTGTAGTATAACTTTTTTTACTAGTTTTGTAAGTGCTTATTCATTGTCCTGGCGAGGACTGTCTAGTCACATCCAAAATCTTATTCTGGATCCATCCTGAATTTCCTTTAAGTATTTCACATGTATCAAAAGAGTGATGCTATGTATTACTAGATTTAGCTTTAAAAACCTACTATTCCCTCTACTCTTTCCCAAAATAGTATGTCTAGCTTTTTCATATGCTGCTAAAAACAGTGACAGAACTAGTGGCTTTGCTAAAAAGATCTGTTTCTGACTTAATGTTGAAGGTGAGTCTTGTCAAGTCAGAAGTGTGGATGACAGGAGGCTTTTTTCTGTAGTACCTGGGGTTTAAGTGACCAGGCTTACCAGAGCAGAAGTTTTGCTGTGCAAAATGGTACATGTAGGAGAAAGTTCATGCACAGTGGTGTGAATTTCTTTTCTCTTAAAATAGTTCCACTTGTCCCCTGTGTTTAAATTCTTCACATGGGCAAAAGAAGTGTGCTAGCAATCACACAAGGTAATTCAGCTTTTTCATGTTGTACTATATAGGCTGTGTGGAATTATACATAATTTCTGCCTCGACAGTGGGAGGAGATGTCTGGAGGAGCAGTGTGCTCAGGTCCAGATTACACCACGGGAAGATTTCTCTTTATTACTGCAAACCCGTATCTTGGGAAATGTTGGCAGGGAGATTATTTTGGTTTGACAGAAGTCCTTTGATTCCAAGGATTATGTTGGTAGCTATGACTGTTGTTTTCCTGGATGCTCCCATGTGGCCTGCTGACAGTGACATCCTTCCCTTTGTCTTATCAAATGCCTCTCTGCATTGTATCTCAGCTGTCTGTACATCTCTGCTTTCAAGTAATTCTGTAGCACTTGCAGTCAGCCCGCTTCCAACTTTGATAAAAAGAACATGTTTTTCAGTTCACCAGCAGAAAACATCCCTGTTTAATAGTCTGCTTGCACATGTTTTATATTATGTAATTTTTTAATTTAATTTTGACTCTTTTTTGTACCTGCTGATGTGATAATTAAGGCACTCCTATCCTTCCTCTCACTGCCCTCTTAACTCCTGCCCAACTTAGGAAATCTCTTGTTCAGCAACGAGGAATGTTTAGAGCATAATAGGTACTTTGAGAAATGCTAAAGCCCTTTTATGCTAATTTTTTACAACTGTTGGCCTTCTTCTGGCTGCTCATAAGGCTCCTAGTTGAAATTTTAAATTTAAAATTTTCATGGGTAGGGGACTTTTCTATCAGCCATATAGAAGTATTTGATGGCAGACATATAGTCTGCCATCAACAAACAGTATCAAACTATAACATCTCTGTGCACTGGTGATAAGTTCTTGTTCTTTTCCTAGAAGAAGTTTAGCAGAAATTAAAATAGTTTAAATAAACAGTGCTAGAGTGAAGGTGGTTGAGTTAGCATGACTTTTCAGTCCTTTTTTTCCTTTGGAGCCTGTTTGGAAAATGACTCCATGTGTTCTCGGTCTCTGTATGTGTGTATATATATTTTAAGGGTATTTTATGTGTTACTTTATTTCTTGTTTTCAGTTGCAAGGCAGGGGAGCAAAGGAAATGTGTCTATACCACAGTGAACACTATGCAGTTCAGAAAGAATGTTTGGTTATTTTTTAAGAAAAAACCTAAATTAACCATAACTCTGCTTCCAAATCTGTATGAGTCGTCTGCTATTAAAAATAAATGAGCCTGTGAGATGGCGGAGGGTCTCCAGAGAGGTCTACAAGTACCAGGAATGGCCAGTGCTGCTTCTATTCCTTTTTGCTAATTACAGTAGCACAGAAATAATAATGAAAGCTGTGACGCTGGGTTTTCTAGTGCTTGTTTTGTGGACATCAGGGTGTGTAGGGTGCTCTGTGAGGGCTCGGTATTTGACATGCCTCATTAACTTCCTGCATTTTAGGGGATCAGATTTTGCTGGCTTAGGTTCGAGATGGTGTTAAAATCTGATCCAGAGGACGGACATTAGCAGTGTTGAGCAGCAGTCTGCCCGCCATTCCTCCCACGAAAGGTTCCTCTGTTCTGCCAGGGCTCACTTCACATTTTGCTCCCCTCCCAGCCCTAGCCTTTGCAGTCGGCTGCTCTGCCAACAATCACAAGTTCAACTATAATTTGCCGCTAAATTATGTTAGAAACAAATATCCACTGCTTGTTGACTGTGTTTTGAATGTTTAATGTTTCTACTGCCAGACTGCAGAATCCTGTGTCAGTGGCCTTAAAGCTTCCTTTGTTTGTGAGAGCACCAGTTTAACAATGCCCTCTGGAGAACAGAGGTCTCATGTTCTCTGAAGCTGCCCCTACGCTAAGCTGTGACTCAGTGAGGGTCAGTGTAGGAGACTCTTCGGGCTGGAATCTCTGGTCACAGTGCTCTTCCACAGAAATAATCGTTGCTGAGCGTGAAGAAGTTGGCAGTGATGAGTGGGATCTCTGTGTGGGATGTTCTAGCTCTGGTGTGCTGGATAAGTGCAGATGGCAGAATTGTCTTACTCTGTCATCCTTCCCCAGGGCCTCTTGGGAGGAGAGATCTGCAGTCTGGTTTTAGTGCTGAGGTAGCGTTTGGTTGCTGCCTTCCCAGGAGCTCTGTTCTGGGGAAGGGAGGAACTAGTACTGCTGCACAGGGGCAGGTTGCAAATACTTCTTCAGGGTCAATTTAAATTTAGGCATGGATAATTTGCACTAAGGGACTGTAATCTATTCTGTCCCCTGTTAAATAGGGAGTACTGTAAAGCATTAGAACTGCATGAAACACTTGTCAAATACTAGGAAAGAAACATTTTTCCTATGAAAAAGAAGGTTTGTTAATTCCTCATAAGGGATAATTGTATTTGGCTGTCTACCAATATGCTTCCCCCATATGTAGATGAGGTGTTTGTGAATCATTTGGGACATTAAATAGTCTCTGTAGGTAAAGAAAGGCTTGGTCCTTGAATCCTGTTTCAAAAATTGCACAACTGCTCTGTTTTAGGGAAATTCCAGCCAATTAATGGATGTTAGTTAGAAATCACAAAAAAAATAGAGAGTTTGCTGTTCTAATGGTAGAACTAAAGTAATTTATCTAAGGAAGATAATGCTTGGGCTGTGTTTGTGTTTAGCGTCTTGACTTGAATTCCTTGTTCAGGGCTGACTTCTTAGGCTGCTTTAGCATAAGAGGAAGCTTTGCATAAGTTCCCTGCATCCTTTGCCATATTCAATGGACATAAATACTTGAATGTACAGTATTTATTGCAGCATTATAGTTTACTTTAGATTATGGCTGTTAAAGTTTTGTTCAGAATTTCCAATACTCCAGGACCACTGACATGGTGCTGTGCTCTCTTTCATCCTGCCAGACATCTGACACCTCTGTGTGGTGATCTGATCTTTAGGAGGGTTGCCTTCCTTCTTTTAGCAGGATGGTGTAAGAGAAATGTGAATTCTTCTTATCCCATGTGGATATAGTGTGTATATCAGGAAACCTTATATGTCTGAACTCTTCACTGGAGAGAGAGGCATGAAGGAAGTTTCTGGTGAGATTTAACAAAATCTTATCTAGGTCTCACCCACATTTAATATTGCTATTTAATAGAGCTGAAGATAGCAGTGTTTGCTGCTGTAAATGCTCTGAAGAGCCCTGGTAGATCAGTGTGGAGTAGGTAAATCTTAAAGAACTTGTGCAGTGCCTTGAAATTGCAAACACAGGTACAACAGAGCACCTAAACTCTACTTACTGCAAAAAGGAATTTCCAGCAGGAGCTAGTGGGAAAGTTGAGATATACTGCCTGTGCTGAGAAACATGTGTATGTGTTAGTGAATAGCTGTGGCTTTTAAATAGTCATTGAATACTTTACAACTACCTAATTGTGCTGCTATTTGTAATTACTAGGAGGAGAGTAAATTGTACAGGCTAAGGCAGACAGAACTGCTTTTATACTTACTGTAAAAGCAAGGGACTGTAATTGTCATATAACATTTGATGGAGCAGATCTATGTGAAATGCCAGGTGGATGCCAACTTTGTTTCTATGCTGTCACTCAATATGTGATGCTACAAGTGCTATTTAGTGAAATGTAACTACTTGCATGCACAGACTGAGAAGGTGTTTCTTTTAAAAGCCAAAAATAAGCAAAACCTAATCCTAGCACCAGCTCTGAACAATTAATTTTAACTGCATAGAACTCCTACAAGTTTCTTTTAAATTACATCATCTTAAAATGAGTACTCACTAAAAAAAAATCTTAGATAATACTATATTTTAATAAATGTAATTTATTTGTGATGTAGATGATACAGCTAGATGAAAGATGTTAAATTGGTAACTTTTATTAAAATGTTACTGCTTCGTGTTGTAACCCATATTCAACTTCTTATTAAAAATGTGGAGTTCTTTAACACAGGATCAGAATTGTCTTGTGGATACAGTTGAATTTAGATGTGAAGGTGAATTTCTAAGCTAAATGCACAACAGTATTTTTCCCATTAGACTTGGAAAACTTGAAGTGCTAGAATTTTTCTGCCAGAGTTGAATATAGTGTTAGTATTTGGAATATCTGATTTTTGTTGTAGGCTGTTCTGATGGATAAAAATTTAATTTATAGTTAATACTCTTGGGATAATAATGGAATTTAAAGAAAACCACTGGCTGTCCTAAATTAGATGTCGGTGTTGTTAGTTTTATTTTTATTCTTAAAAGCAATCTGAACCAAATTTAGAATTAAAAGTGTAGGGACAAATGTAAGCAATACAGCTATCAGTTGAGTTTCTTAGCGATTTGTTAGGTGCATATTACATCCCTGGAAAGCTTTTTGTGTGCTTTGATATCTCATGGTTAATGTATATTAGTTGCTTCTTAAGGTGGTATTTCAGAGATCCAGGCCTGATTAACCTGAGTGTTAAACTGGCCCCTGGTATTTCTGGGTGAGTGTCTCCACTCCTTGGCACATGTGGGATGGGACGTTCCTGCATCCATTGGGCAAATCCCAGCTTGGGTTTGAAGTGGTTCTGGGCAAAAGCAGTAGTTAGCATTTATTTAAAGAAGGAGTTGGAAAAGAAAGCAAGCTTTTTCTTACCCTGATGCTGCTGCTCAGCATGTTTTCTCTCTGTGCTTGCAGGCTGTGACTGAGCTGGGTTTGACAATGTCAGGCTGTGGCAGCACAAATGCCCCGTGTTCTGCTGGCGCTGCTGCAGCAGGCTGGCATGGGTGTGAGAGTGGTGCCAGTCTGGGCTTAAGGCAGAGCTGCTCATGTTTGGAGCTGTGGCATTAGCAATGGTATCTCTCATTTGAGGGCACACTAAAACCAGTGTCTTTTTGCTTTTGTTGTGGTTACTTCTGTAGTGTTCAGGAAGAGGAGTAAGCCCCTGTGCAGGGGCAGAAAGTAAACTATAAAAAGATACCGTGAGGAAACAGGAAATATAGGTTCAAACAAGGAAAAAATACTGAGCTGAGCAGTTTAGTTTGAAGAAATCTAGTTACTGTGTAGAACTTGTAATAAGAGATCAAAGTGAGGAAGGAGTTGGAGGGAAAGGAAACTACAACTGAAGAAGAGAAACCCAAAAGAGGCAAGGGTGAAGCACATTAGGATTAAAAAAAAAAGCCTAATTTTCTTTTCTTAAATTTGCATAGAATGTGCCTGAGTGACTTTGCATGAGCGCTTGTGAATATTGGTCTCCCCTGAAGTTCTATTATTTGGCTTTGTACACTGAGTTTTACTTTGAGAAGAGCTTACACAGCCTTAAGCTGTATGGCAGTACCAAGAATGAGTGTGCTTTAGAGAGAGATGGCTCCTGATTTTAAAACTGACTTCTAGCTGTAGTGTTAAACATTATTGTATGATGATAAATTTCCAAAATGCTGAATACCTTTTGCTTCTTTCAGGCGGGGCTTGAATCCACCCCACAGAGTGAAGTCGATTTCAATGACTACGTTCACACAACAGGAAATAGAATTTCTGCAGAAACATGGAAATGAAGTAAGTATTACTTGGAGAATAATGTGAGTTTGGCACTTTAGTATTAAAGTTGAAAACACTACGTAAAGAAAACTTCGGGTTTTTTGTTTGGTTTTTTTTTTTTTTTTGGCAAAAGCTAGACAGAAGTCTTTTGAAGCCAACATAATTTGAAATGAGGCTTCTGAAGAACTTGTTTCATTAGGTAGCTGGTCATCATAATGTTACTGCCCAACCCAGACAATCCAGATTCACATGATCAGTATTTCTGAATTGGGTTTTCTTTTGATTTTGCATAAGGTGATATGCAGCCATCATTTTTTTTCCTTTAAGCTCAGAACTTGAAACTGACCACAGCAGTATTTCCTGAAAGAGTGTACTGTGCTAAAAATAAATACAAAAGTACACTTGTAGCTGTATTTCTTCACACTTGGTGTCAGAAAGTTGTCTAGTAGTTTTAATAATTAATAAAATAATAATTAATAATCAATATATAATTAATAATAATTTAAATACTTATTAAAAGTATATCCATATACTTGCATGTGTGTGTTAAAGTATATCCATGTTGAATATTCTTGGACAGAGGAAGGAAAGGGAGAAATTGTAATCCAATGAGTAGTTAGTGGCAGCTTTGAAGAGGACAAGTTTTAGCATACTGGCTTTTTGTTCCTTTTAATAGAAGAAAAAATCTGAGTTAAATGTTAGATTGGCTCTGTAGGAATACATGGAGCTCTTAAGCTCTGGATGTGACTATTGCCGACTTCAATTTGAGGGTGAAGTTTGTGTTTAATAACATGCTGTAGCCTTAAGGATTTTAGAGGCACATTTTGCCTCTGTTCAAACTAGATAAGGTTCTGCTTCACATTGATTGTATCTGTACCCTGTTTAGGAGAACTATTGATTGTAGGCTAGGGTGTGTTTTATTAGTGTGCTTTTGTGAAGCTTTGTGGGGATAAATCCCATCATTCAGTAAAATGCTGATACTTAACTTTCTTAAAGTTGGTCCATTCATAACTGTCAGGTTGGAGAATGAAACAGAAGTCGTAATTTCTTTTTCTGCCCTGGTAAATATGTGTTATTTGTTGAAATGACTGTTAGTGGCTGATTCCTCTAGACAGAGCTAGATCAAGGCCTGAACTGTCCCGGATTTGATAAAATACTCTTAATGGCTAGGTTGGTTGGGTTTTCTAAAACTGTAGGGCTTTGTATATGTATAAAGCATATATTAGTCAGTATAAAAGTCAGCATTACCGATGTTTTGCATAGGGAAATTTAATAAAAAATCTTCTGTGAATTCACATAGAGTATGTTGGAGTCTCTTTCCATAAGATTAGATCATAAGCTCCAGCTTTGCTTTAAACTTCACAAAGTGTAAAGGAAAAGATGTGTTTGTAGCTTCCTCCCTGTATTTCATTTTTTAATTTCATTTTTTACTAAACTTGCTATGTCTAGAGAGTGCTGTGATTTTGTTTTCACTGATCTGGAACCTTAAGTGATCTCTTCACAACTGATTAGTGTGGTTGTCCTTCTCGTTATAGCCATGACTAGTCTGCTAATCATAATGATTTTGTAGATACATAATTTATTATTGACATTAAAAAAAAATCTCAGACCTCTGCAGTGCTATTCTGTTTCAAAAGCAGAGGTCTTGGCACTTGCAGTACTCTAATTAGAGAATTGCAATGATTTAAATGAGCTGCTTCATAAATTAAGATAGCCTTCTGAGTTTAGTTTTAGGTTGTTGATTGTTGCTTTAATTCTTAAGTAGAACTGAATAGACACTTGTAAGTGCCGATGGTACATTTAAGGAGTGCTCAAATATTGAACAGAAATTATTATTGCTTTAAACACTGTTAGAAGTTTAAAACCTAGTTAAACATGTTGTTGTACTTTATGTTGCAGTAGTTAAATAGACATTTTGTTTTTTCTTGCTGGTATTGGACTTTGGAATACTTATCTGCAGATAAGATAATGTATTGGACAGAGGAAATTCATCTGACCTCACAAAAAAACCCCATTTTTTTGCTTAGCTTACTCTTCAGCATAGGAGGCTCTTGTGTGTATAGGAAGAGAGGAAATTGCCTAAAATAAGACTTTTCAAACATGGAATTGTCCAATATTGTAATATCAACAATTAAAACAATTGTACAGCGATACATATAAGAAGAGGCTCAACTTTTTTGGCAATCTATCATGTTTAACTTCCATTTTTCTGTAACTTCTAAAATACTTTCATTCCAGCTTTCTTGTTCTAGTCTTTCTCCAACATGGCCAAGACCTCTTTGATAACCTTTCTTGCTTCCAGATGAGTAGGTCGTGGTTGTACAATAGGGATCTTGTTCTGAATACAAAGTAAAATAGCAAGAAAACTTCCATGAAATAAAGTAGTTAAGGTGCTGAGTTGTTAGAGGAAGTAGTTTTCCACTCTCATTCAAAGGGTATTTATAAGGTCAGTGTATTGTATGAGGTTGAAGTCCTCTAAAAAAACTCAGCCACTCAAACCACACAAAGAAAAAACCCAAAACACTTCATAATATTTAAAATACCAACTTTTCCACAGTTGTTATAAATGACCGTCTTTGTGGCACACATGGGTAAAACATTGAGTTAGTGAAAGGCTTCTGCAGATCAACTGCTTCAGGGAGAGATTATTCAGAGCAGCTCTTCCTTAGGTGAGGCACCATCTTCTTCCCCAAATACACATATTCTAAGAAATGCCTTTTTGGCACAGGTAGCTTGAACATTATTTTAAATGAGATTTCACTGCTTCAAAGAGAATTTAAAATCCTTATACTGTATTAGAAGACACCTATATTTTAGTGTTGCTTGCTCATCTGGAGGTATAACAGCTGACCAGTCCCCAGTTTTGCTAATGTTGAGATTAGGTCACTGCAGTGGGAATGGAGGCATCCTCCAGCTGACATTCCTCAAGTGCCTTCTGAAATCCTTTTAAAGGATAAAGGCAGTTCTAACTCACTGGGTAGAGTTTTTTGTCTCCTTGCTGTCTTCATGAAGAGCAGTGTGAGGTATTTTCACATTTTCTCATTAGGAATAATGAGGAGAGAGTGATATGGGGATGTGTCTGTTTGAATACTTCATCCTCAAATGATGCTAGTGCTGATTTGGCCTCTGATTCAGTTGTGCAGTGGTAGTAGGAAGTGAACTCCCTATTTGAAGAAAGTGGAGGTGGTGCTAATCTCCTGTTGCCATTATAGCTGTGAATATTTATTCAGAAACTTTTCCTCTAAGATGAAGAGTAGTATTATGAGGCAAACCAGTTACAGAGTTAATTTTTCTCCTACCCTTTTGAAAAATGGCATTTTATAATCTTTCCGGATAACCCATTCTAATATGTTAGAATTCCTGTGGTTGAAGAAAAAGATCTTGATGGTCTTATATTTAGAAAATCTCTTACACTGGGGCAAGGACCATGTTTACCTGAGTAAACATGAGTGGATACATGAAGTTATGCTCAGCTGCTTGGAGTTATTTTAATAGTGCTGAATTTTGGTTTGATGCCAATTTTTCTGACTCTCAATAGCACCTGTGCAAGTCCCTGTTTCCTGCACTCTTGCAGAACTGACAGCAGTCTGAGTCTGGTTCAGAGCTGGTGTTAGGCCAGAGCAGAATGCTTCCCTAGAATCTCCTTTACTATGGAATGTGGCCCAGAGTGGAAGGAGCAGTCCTAAGCTGGAGCTGATGAGTGCTGACAGCACGGGCTGTGCAGTCAGGTGTCCTTGGAGTACATTGCTGCTTCTGCTAATACGATACAGAGATACATGATTGTGTGTAGAACAATGTCTTTGTTAGCTGGCTTCACTCTGCTTATGAAACCACTATAACTTCTAGACCCAAACTGTCTTTGAAATCAGTACTCTGGTAATATAAAATTCTTTTAACCTACAGAGATTAATGAATAATATTGACATCAGAAGTGCAGGATTACTAAACAAAGCTGAACTTGCTTACATAAAGAAACTATTTCCAAATCTTTCTTCAATGTAGGGTGTTATGTTTTGGAACATAGTTTTGTTGTGTGGTAATGTGCAGTTGTTTGCACTGCCAGCATTATATTTGGTGCATAACTGAAGTTATTTTATTGGCAGGGAGGGGGAGAAGAAGAAATCTAATTTGGCATTTACCAGCCTTCTGAAAGGTATTATCTTGTTAGAGCTTTTTAAACTAGACTGACATATGTAATCTTCCTATGCAGTGGTATGTCTGGGTCTCCAGAAGTGTTGTAGGTCAAGTAGTGTGCTTTTTCCTAGGTTGAAGTGCAGCTTCTATCAACACAAGGATGTGTCCTGTGAGAGCTTTTTCTTGCCTTGCTGCCTTCACCACATACAAGAGCAGGAGGCTCAATAAGCAAGAACTTAACTTTGCTGGCCTGGCGGAATTTTTATTGTTCCTAACCAGCACAACTGTGCTAACAGGAGTTTCTGAAGTGTGGTGGCTCAATGTGTTGTGTAAGCAGAAGGCCTTTGTCTCTCCTATATCTGCCTTCCCCCCCACACTGGAGATCTCTGTCAGTGAAATACTTAGGACATGGCAAAGGTTTATTTGGTAGTTGAAATACGTAGCACTGGAATAGAAATAACTGAAGTCTCAGATTCTCAGTTTTATGCAAAATTTAATGTATAATGCAGATTATTTTCTTAATTAGCAGTTTTTTAGTAGGCCTGTTCTTTCCCATTTTCCCAACTCTAAAAACACACAGGAAAAAACCCCAAAGCATGTGAACAAATAGAAAGCAAAATAAAAGCTACACTTTTGTGGAAAACACGTACATGTATTTGAGCCCTGCTTGGAACACCTGAAAGCATGAAATGTTACTGGAGGCTGGGTTTTAAACCAGAAACCTTTCTGATTAACTTTGTTTTGTGGTGTGCCAGATGTGCATTGAATGGGATGTGTTCTTTGTTGCTTTCTGTCAAAGCTGAAAACAAAGGTAATTTCTCAAAGTGTAGGACTACAAATGTAAATAATGAATGGAAAACCTAACATATGGTAAATATAATTAC